TCAAGAGGTTCCTTAAAATCTCTTTTTAGCACAATAATCCTTAAATCACAATCTTGTGACCACTGAACTGGAACACACACATTTTCAAGCACAAATCACACAAAAACCGCTAAGTAGCCTCACGCTTGGGTTTTAGTTTATGAATAGATCTATAGTAACAATGTCATTATAGATAAGTATAAGTAGAACAGGCCTTTATTGTAGCTTCTTTATACATATAACACACATACAAAGAGTTTTAACTAGAATGCACCAATCACATAATGTTACTATTTTGATTAATAATATATACTAATGAAAATAAAATGTGATGCATGTTTGACTCTAAGGCAGCTACATAGGTATTACAACAAAATAATAAAGTATTTAAATAGAAAAAATATATTTAGCTTTTTGCTGGTTTCCTAGAACATCCTGTGGTTCATAGTTATCCAACTTAATAGCACTTGTTTTATTAACCTCATAATGATGAAAGACTGAACTGAATTTAGAAAGAACTAAATCTATAAAACATTGAGAATCACCTATCTTTTGTATTGAAACTTGTTTCATGAGATGCTCTCTTTTCTGAGTCATAAATAAGGTTAGACAAGTCAAAGTCAGGCAAACTCTGCAAATGAGAAACTTTGTTTAATTTCTTCCCTTCTCTGTATGCTGTCTCTATACTGACTGCCACGTGAAAATGACAGGGATTTTAACAATAATTGACAGGGAGTTAAGATGGAAGCGTGCAGTTGCGGTACAAAGAGGTGTGTATTTTTATATTTACTTTTTACTGGTAATCCTAATAGTAAAATCTAGGGTCACAGTTTGTTCCCCTTTATCAAGACTTTCCAGGCTGTTTTCAATTATTAAATGCATATTAAATGTAGAAAGGCAGAGATAAATGGGTCTCAAGTCACAAACTCTCCAAAATTGCACAGAACATCTCAGTCTAATTAAATCATATGCAGATAAATATCAGATAATGGTCACTCACCATCTTAATTCACTAGCCCCACAGTCAACAACAGTCTCATAAACCAAAAAAGCAGAGTGCACTGTGATACCCCCAATCGTTAAATGATGAAATGTAACTAAATTGTTTATGGAAATTGTTACATGGGTTAATACTATGCAATTATTATTATTATTTTATTATTTATATAGCACCACAAAATTTTGTAGCGCTGTACAATGGGTGGATGAACAGACATGTAATTGTAACCAGACAAATGGATGCACAGGAACAGAGGGGTTGAGAGCCCTGCTCAATGAGCTTACATGCTAGAGGGAGTGGTGTATAGTGACACAAAGAGTATAAGTAGGGGTAATGAAATAGGTTGCTAGTAAGGTATTTATTTAGCTTCTTTTTGACAGTTGCAGGAGAGGAGTTATGGGGGACGAGAGGGGGAATGAAAACCCGCTAACAGTTTAAATGATATGAGCTATAGATGTTTATGCACTACATACTTTATTGTCTTTAATACCTATATTCATACATTCGGTGAACATTGGTTTCGCTCACTAATAATGCTTCAATTTGTTGCTTAGGATCATGGTGCATGGTGTTGCAAATTTTACATTTAGACAACAATCCCTATTTTTTGGAATACAACTATTGTAGTATCTTAGTGGGTGTAGTATGCATCAAGAATGATAGAAATCATAGGAATTATTTTGTTATTATGGGAATAGATCATCCAATTATTGAATATTTAGTTGATGATCCCCATTTTCTTGGCATATAGTATTTAATAATCAGACATTTTATTAACTGCAGTGTGTGTATCATTTTTGCAAGACCAACTAGCACACTTATATCCAACCATCCCGCTTATTGATGCTCCAACTTAAGGGTTTAAGATCCTCATAGATGACCTGTGTGAAATCTAAATTTAGGCAATATCCCCATCTACAGCGCACAATAATTGAAACTCTTTGGCGGATGCAGCAAGCATAACAACTTTGGATACCTCTTATCATATGGTTTATCACTACTTAGGCGAAGATTTCCATTTTTCTTGTAACGTCATATTTGGTCACATTAGTAATCATACTGTACAAACCAATTACTGTTAGAAACATTATCATTTGAGCTTATCGATGATAGAAGTGTGTACACCAATAAGTATAAGATTATTTGTATTGTTTGCTATATGCACTTAGGTGGAGGTTTTATATTTTATTCTCAATAAAAGTTATGTTTTATATTTCAAACAATAAAAGTTGCACTCAATTTAAAGAAATGTGTATATATTACCATTCTAAAATAATAATTTCCATAGAAAAAAACTGTTTATATATTGAAATGCTTAGCTAGTACCATGTTTTGCCTGTGTATCATATACCCAGTGGCAGTGGCCTGTGCTTTCTCTGTCTATTTGTCGTGCAGTTCTGTGTAATTGCAAACAGTTCTATTTTATTATTTTTTAGATCATAGCACATTTTGACATTTCAATCTTTGTTAAGTTAACTTTAGTCTTTGGTGAATGTACTGTGAGTGCTGAGAACACAGGTCTTGCTCTGAGCATTTTGGCATAAAGCAATGCTGTTGGATCGTGTTGTGTTGCCTGGTAACTAGAGAATATGATCCAAAAATACTTTGAAATGCCATTTGAGATGTTGAATGGTAGGATCCTTTACACATTTGCATCAAAAGAGACATTTCCAATATTGCATGTGGAATGTAAATGGCATATTTTAAGCATGCCACTTCTTTGTCATTAAAAAAGGGAGATAATCTTATGTAACTTTGGGCTACAAGATAAAATTCTTATCCCCCAAGGTGTGCCTGCTTTTGGATTGGTCATCAATGTTACTAAGCAAATAGAGATATTCAGTCTTAAAATGTTGCTAGGCAGCTGCCAGAATACATTAGGCAGATACCCAAAATGCATGCAGGACCTTTAACACAAGTGACCCATAGTGCTTGCTCATGTGAGTAATCAGGAAAGCAAAAAAAAAAGTGTGTGAATCTTATAATCCAAGTACAGTACAAAAATGTGTTTAGAGATTTATTGCATTTTATCACCTGGTTCGGTGACCACTTATCAAGTTAGGTGTGTAACAAGAGTTGGAAACTTTTTGTTATATTACAAGGTTCATTACTCATAGCCATAGTGGGAAGCTAGAAGTTTTACTAGCCAAACCTCATTTTACTAAGATAATCTTCCTTTCTTTGTTCCTTTCTTTTGTGAAATTCCTGAAAATATACAAAGGAGCATGCAACTGAATTGCAATGAGAATTGTGGTTGATGCATCTGATCACCTCTTGAAAAGACGAAACCTTGAGCTAACAAGGGCCTAATGTATTCAAAGTAGCCCTTAATTGTTTTAGGAAAACAAAAACATACAGCCTAATTCAAAGCCCCTGAGTACTACTTGTTAAAACACAATATACAGGGATATCATTTTTCATGATTCAAGGAGACATCTGACTGTCATTCTGGAGTTGAAAAGTGTTTTTTTTGATGGACTATGTAATTATATAACTATGATGTTTTAAATAGACACAGGGTTTCTATTAAAGGAAAAAAAAAAAACATACAAATGATACCACACTCTCCAGATTAATGCAATATATTTATTTTTCAAGAAAAGTATGTTTCAAGCACAAACAAAAATGATTGCATTATTCTTGGCAAGAAGTGCTTCAAGCATTTTTCTTTGGAGAGTGAGGTGTCCTTTGTATTTTTTTTTTTTATTGTTATAAGGGTGTTTTATAAAATTTCCGAAGTGCTTCGGATTTCTGAAAAGTGGCAAAACAGGAGAGGGTTGGGGTTAGGGGTTGGGGTAGGGTTAGTGGTTGGGATAGAGGTAGGGTTAGGTTTAGGGGTAGGGTTAAGGGTTGGGGTAGGGTTAGTGGTTGGGGTGGGGGTGGGGGCAGGGTTTGGGGTTGGGGTAGGGTTAGTGGTTGGAGTAGGTTTATGGGTAGGATTAGGGTAGCCCTAACCCTATTCCTAACCCTACCCCTAACCCTACTCCTAACCCTAACCCTGCTCCTAACCTAACCCTACCCTTAACCCTACACTAACCCTCCTCTAACCCTACCCCTAACCCTACCCTACCCCTACCCCTACATCTAACCCTACCCCTAACCCTACCTCTAACCCTACCCCTAACCCTTAATCAACCCTAATCTTACCCTAACCCCACCCCTTACCTAACCCTACCCCTTACCCTACCCTTAACCCTACCCTAACCCTACCTATAACCCTACCCTTAACACTAGCCCTAACCCTACCCCTAACCTAACCCTTACCCCTAACCTACCCCTACCCCTGCCCTTAACCCTACATCTAACCTTACCTCTAACCCTATCCTGACCCTAAACCAACCCTAACCCTACCCCTAACATAGCCCTACCCGAACCCTAACCTAACCCTAACCTTACACTTACCCGAAGTCCTGAAGTCCTGAAGTCTTTAAGTGCCAAAGTTCCGAAGTGCAGAAGTGCAGAAGTGCCGAAGTGTCAAGGTTCCAAAGTGCAGACATTCCGAAGTGCCAAACCGAAACAAAGTGCCGAATTGTAGGCTAAAGTAGTTGAGTTAGAAAACAAATTATTTGAAATGTATTTTTATCTTTTTTCCTATATTCCTAGTTTAATGATAAACTTCAAAGGCCTCTCTTTACATAAATGTACCATTTATTTCAGCAGGCATAACACATGTGCAGCAGTGGGAAGAGTGTTATTATAGCCAATAAATGTAATTTCTAAAATAAATATGCTAAATTGTATTCCAAAAATATGTCAGTGCCATAATGAATCTATGAGCTTATAAACATTGAATTCTATCTCTTCTGTGTCATGGCAGTCAAAATGGCAACCTGCAGAAACGACATCAGAAAATTGTAACTATTTAAACGCCTCAGACATATCAAATTGTGTGTAACAACTGAACTGCTTGACACCGTTGGATAGAACATGCATAATGTATGCTATTATTACCAGGATTCTGTTACAGGGGTGACAATTACAAGCTGAAAAAATCTCAAAATCAATTCCTGATAATTTATTTAGAGCTGTGTGGGAGTAAAGAAATAAATATTATGAGCACTGTGTACAGGCCCACACACATATATTAAAATGCACCATTCCTCTCCATTTCAGCTTTTTTTAAATGTCAGATTTACAGCTAATAAAAGAATAACCCTAATGAAAAAATCATATGTTGGCGAGTTTATTGTAAACACTTACTACTTTAAGTTAATGTTGTAGACATTTATGATTACAATAACAAGGTATTCAACTATTCTAAAGTACCTGTGATGCAATAGATCAGTGGTTCTCAAACCAATCCTCAAGACCCACCAACAGTCCAGGTTTTGTTAGTATCCCCATTGGAATAAAACAGGGAAATACATAAATCCTGGACTGTTGGTGGGCCATGATGACTGGTTTGAGAACCACTGCAATAGATGCACCAACAAGAAGGAAAAATACACTTAGAGAACACAGCTCTCAACCATCACCTACATTCCCTAAAAAAGTAACACAGCCAAAGCTAAAAATAATCTAAAAATAAAACAGTGAAATTAACATTTCTAAAACTGTGGGAATTAACATTATAGTGATTTCTTTAAAGCTTGCCCCACTTTGCACAGACTGTTCATATATATATATATATATATATATATGTATAGTTAATACATTGCTAAACACAAACACACACACATCAGTCAAGCCATAAGACTTGCTTTTCCCACAGAATCCCACTTTAGCAGTGCTCTCACTACTGCAAGGGATTCTGGGTAGGTATAAATGGGATTTCTGTCAGAAAAGCAAGTCTTATGGCTTGACTGATGTATGTATTTGTGTTTAGCAATGTATTAACTATCCACTTACTTCAGGAGGAAGGGGTTTTCATCCACACTTTTTTCCCCACCGCAACTCTTTTGGTGTCACACCAAACATTTTTATAAATATTTTATTATATATTTTCATGTGACAACACTGAAGAAATGACACTCTGCTGAAATGTAGCAAAGTAGTAAGTGTACAGCCTGTATAACAATGTCAATTTGCTGTCAAATTAGCTCAACACACAGCCATTAATGTCTAAACTGTTGGCAGCAAAAGTTAGTACACCCTTAAGTGAAAATGTCCATATTGGACCTGATTAGCCATTTTCCCTCCCCATTGTCAGGTGACTGGTTAGTGGTACAAGGTCCCAGGTGTGAATGGGGAGCAGGTGTGTTAAATCTGGTGTTATCGCTCTCACACTCTCTCATACTGGCCACTGGAAGTTCAACATGGCACCTTATGGCAAATAACTCTCTGAGGATCTGAAGAAAAGAGTTGTTGCTCTATATAAAGATGGCCTAGGCTATAAGAAGATTGCCATGACCCTGAAACTGAGCTGCAGCACGGTGGGCAAGACCATACAGCGGTTTCACAGGACAAGTTCCACTCAGAACAGGCCTCGCAATGGTCGACCAAAGAAGTTGGGTGCATGTGCTCAGCGTCATAACCAGAGGCTGTTTTGGGAAATAAACTTATGAGTTCTGCCAGCATTGCTGCAGAGGTTGAAGTGAGGGGGGGGAGGGGGGTCAGCCAATCAGTGCTCAGACCATAAGCCGCACACTGCACCAAATTGGTCTGCATGGCTCTCATCCAAGGAGGAAATTCTTCTAAAGAAGATGCACAAGAAAGCCCACAAACAGTTTACTGAAGACAAGTAGACTAAGAACATGGATTACTGGAACCATGTCCTGTGGTCCGATAAGACCAAGATAAACCTATTTAGTTCAGATGGTGTCAAACGTGTGTGGCAGCAACCAGGTGAGGAGTACAAAGACAATTGTGTCTTGCCTAAAGTCAGGCATGGTGATGAGAGTGTCATGGTCTGGGCCTGCATGACTTCTGCCGTCATGACTGCTGCCGGCACTGGGGAGCTACAGTTCCCTGAGGGAACCATAAATGCCAACATGTACTGGGACATACTGAAGCAGAGCATCATCCCTTCTCTTCGGAGACTGGGCCGCAGGGCAGTATTCCAACATAGTAACATCCCCATAGACACCTCCAAGACAACCACTGCCTTGCTACAGAAGCTGAAGGTAAAGGTGATTGACTGGCCAAGCACGTCTCCAGACCTAAACCTTATTGAGCATCTGTGAGGCATCCTCAAACGGAAGGTGGGGGAGTGCAAGGTCTCTAACATTCCCCAGCTCTGTGATGTCATCATGGAGGAGTAGAGGAGCACTCCAGTGGCAGCTGTGAAGCTCTGGTGAACTCCATGCCCATGAGGGTTAAGGCAGTGCTGGAAAATAATGGTGGCCACATAAAATATTGACACTTTGCCCAATTTGGACATTTCCATTTAGGGGTGTACTCATTTTTGTTGCCAACTGTTTAGACATTAATGGCTGTGTGTTGAGTTATTTTGAGGGGACACTTACTACTTTACATTGTAGCAGTGTCATTTCTTCAGTGTTGTCACATGAAAAGATATAATAAAGTATTTACAAAAATGTGAGGGGTGTACTAACTTTTGTGAGATACTGTATATATGTATATATATATATATATATATATATATATATATGTAAAACCCAGATAAAATTCATATTGTGTACTGCCTTTTTTATTGGACTAACAGGATTTTTTAATGACAAGCTTTTGGGAGAACCTCCCTTTCTCAAGTCTGAAGCATTTCTGAGCAAGACAACACATAGAATTCAGCCCACCAGTCACCTACACGTCTGACCGAACCTAAGACTGCTGCCCGACTCCAAAGATCTTCCAAGACATTATCCATTTTTGTTCTATAGCATGCAACCCCCTTACTCACCTGATCAGGACTGATTTGTCACAGTGGTGAGATCTAACCAGTTCAGCTATTGTTCATCTTTTTCAGTTTTTTCATTTATTTATTCGTCTTTGCTATTTTATTGTCATTTTTTTCTTTTTCTTTTTTTTGTTGTTTATTTTACTGTACACCATTTTTTTCATTCATTTTTTGCATCATTATCTACAAGAATTACTGATATCCATTTCCACAAATGGACTAAAAAACAATCTTTGAGTTAAGGGGTGGAACCACTGGAGTTATTTTCTGTGATTATATTTCTGTTTTGCGCATATTACCTATTGACTTCCTTATGCTTCCTCATTTGCATTACTGTTTAGTGACCATTATACATTTTTTACTATAGGTTTAGATCTGGTGATTTGTGGATTTTATGAGTATACATAGCAATTGTGTGCATTTTTTCCCCCTTACATTATATTGTAAATATTGGTTCTGATTCTCTCTTGAACAAATTTGATAATACATAACTTTTTTGCATTATTCTGAGTGCGGTATTCTATTTATTAAGTGTAAATATCTTATGTGAAGATCACAGAGTGGGGGGGAGAGAGAGAAAAAAAAACAAGCGAACAGTGCAAAAGATGGTGCTAGAAATAAGGTATTACAAGATACAAATTTTATCTGTTTCTTACATCTACATCACTGGACTAATACGGCGACAATCTCTACAATCTATACAAAAAAACAAGTCCTGCGCTCCAACTCCCACTTCTGTTGGGCGGCAGCAATGACCATAGTATACATCAGCCCCAATACATAAAGTAAAAACCAAAGGAAAAAAGTTACCTGTGCTTTCTCCCAAATCCCTATGTATATTTAAACAAATAAACATAAATCACCTCCATTTGTTTAAATATAAGTTTGCCTTGACATGGTAGGCGGGCATTCACTCCAATGGCCTTTGGAGTAATTAAATAACCTCCATTAGTTTAAATATACATAGGGATTTGGGAGACAGTGCAGGTAACTTTTTTCTTTGTTTTTTAATATGTATATATATACATAATTATAATTACACTATGTTCATATTTAAAAAGTATTTGTGGGATGAGTTGCATGAGTGGAGCTTCAGAAACAAGCAGAAAATTTAATTTTCTTTAAAGGGACACTATAGTCACCAGAACAACTACAGCTTATTGAATTTGTTCTGGTGAGTAGAATCATTACCTTCAGGCTTTTTGCTGTAAACACTGCTTGTTTCAGAGAAAATGCAGTGTTTACATTACAGCCTAGTGATAACTTCACCTCACTGGCCACTCCTAAGATGTCTGTGAGAGATCCTTCCTGGGTCATTGCTGCCTAAAATGCATAAAAACATTCAGTGTCTCCACCCT